ACCCCAACTGCATTTTTTTTTTCTTATTAACAAAATCTCAGTGGCTAGAGGGTTGGGATTTTTTTAAAATCTAAACATTAACTTACGTCAGAGCAAGTCAATAAGCAACATACAAACAACAGATCAGACTGTATTCAAAAGACAATCTATGGTGCACCCACACGGAGACAGAAAAACTGACAGAGCCAATTGAGTTACAGTTAACATTTCCTTTATTTCAGTATAAGAATTCCTGAACTGAATGAAGAATGATATTTTGGCCCATACTGCTAGACTAGATAAATTCTTTAAGTATGCAGTGCCACAAGTGTACACAGTACTATAATAGCAAAAAAAGACGGCCTGGGACAAGTTTCATTTTTATTATTAGCAGGAGTTAGACGTTTCAGATAAGGATATTATGCATTCCTGAATTTGCCTGGAAAGTTAATTAAAACCTGGAGAACATTTTAAAACATTATAAAATTGCCCACAGATACTCATTATACTTTGGTAGGGGATGTGGAATAAAAACCTGTATCACGTAAACATTCAACAAACAGATTCTCTGCACTCTGAAGCCTAAGTAGTACACAAAGTGAGAATAATTACATAAGAAGCTTAATTTTCTACACAGAACGTGCTGCCAAAGAACAAGAGTCAAGCCTAAACTTTTTTCCATGTGAAAGTAGAAGCACTGTAACAAAACTGTACGATCTGGTGGGCAATGCAGGTAATTTCAATTGTTGGAGGCTTTAGCAGAGGTTTAGCAAGAAACAAGTCCAATTACTTGCAGTGTTCCACAAAAACACACCCCTGACTGCTTTCTGGTGCTTTGAAACAGGAAACAAAAAAATCTATAGGCATACAGAAAAAAACACAGGAAACAACTGTCTGTTAAGTCCGAGGATTTAAAGTGGCACTATATATTAAATTATCCTTAAGTACTGTTTTGAAGAGAAAATTATCTTCGAAGGAAGCTAGAATGAAACACAAGTAGCACACTGATTTTGTTTAACAACCTGCAAGGTTAACTTCAACTATTTTTTCTTTAAGTAGTAGTTTGTTTAAAACAACGCGTATTCCTTTCTTCCTTCCTGTTCTTAGGATCTCAAAGACAGTTATTTTTACCTTCAGCAAGCATGTCTATAATATTTTAATTGTATACTGTAGTACAAACTAGACTTTGGTAAACGGAGCTGACGAACCTTTTTAGTTGCAAGTCTTACATGTCTCATGACTGCCTTCTCAATCTAATACCTTACCTTTTAAGAATTGTACACGCTTTCTCCTTTGTGTATACATGCTAATACCCATTAAAAATGCAAATAAAAATGATCTGCCTCAAACCAGTAATGAGAAAAAAAGATATTGTTTAGTATGTAGAAAAAGAGCAAAACTTAAGGCTTGCATTATTATAACTTGCATTATTAGGCCTTGGAAATGCAAGAGGTTGTAGCTACAACCAGCAACTGAGCTCATTTTGACACTGGATGTTTCAGAAAGAAGAAAGAATTCCCTCTAGAGAAGATATAAGGAACTTAACGATAAAAGCAACACCTCCAAAGTCTTTCACGGGCTTCTTTAAACTGCCATCTACTGGTCAGCTCATACTTCATGAGGATATGATGAATGACAGACTAGCTAAGAATTTAGTGTATTATATGTTCTTTATTTTGTCCTCTCTTAGAAAAAAATTACAGTTTCATTGACAAAGTTCAGAAGTAGTACTTAGACTCTGCAGGATACTATGACACTTAACTGCTGTCAACAAATCCATCCAATTTAATGAAGCCAGCCAATAACCACAAAAATTGATTGAAAAGCTAAAGCAGATATGTTTCATGTAAACACACGGCGTGCCAATAATCCAGCAGTAATGTAAAGCCTTTTTTATTTATTAAAAAAATACTGGTTACACTCTACTGGCACCTACTACATTATTGGGGGGTGGAGAGCCAAGGTAAAAAATGAAATGAGAATACACAACCTGTATCTCTTCTCACAAATATCATGAGCTTTTGGATGGTTACACCAAGTCTTACATAGGCAGTAAAAAACTACTCCGAGCTTTTGCAGACTCCAAAGTGTTGAGTATCTTTCTCACATCTGGCCCTACCAGTTGCTCATTAAGAATTAGATTTTTTTAAAAAATTGTATTTCACATGAAGCACTGGAGAAAACGACTACTGATGTCAAGTGCCTGGAAGTAAAATTAAGTATTTTGTTTCAAGATTAAATGCAGGTATGAAATCTACTCATTCATGTATAAACACCTTACTGCTTCTGTCCATCCATCTTAAAACAACTTCAAAGCCCAATTTTTCAACGGGAGTGAAAGCCTACCTTTTAATCTCTGATATGTCAGGTCTATAAATGTTTGTTTGCTCTTAAGGCAGAAGTCCACACCTCCACCCCCATCTCTCTCCCCTGTAAATTACATATCCAAAGTAACTTACTAATTTTAAAATTGGCCTCAACCAATTTTATATATTTCAAATAAACCTCATTAAGAAAATACCCCCAATAACAACAAAAAGCATCCAAACTCTTTTTTTTTAAATGTCAAATAAGATGTATCTTTCAAACAAGAAAAAGCTGAGCACACTCTTCCTACTGAACACACCTTTCCTAGAATTCAGCCGCAATGTACTGACATTTAAGAGGTGTGCAGCTAGCAACATTGTTTGACATATAACAGTCATATACAGGTTCCATTCTGGAACCAGCTGTCCACAAATAGTGTGGAGGGAAAAGAAAGGAGAAAAAAAAAGGCCAGAATCCACTTAGTATTGCTTGTGGAGGTGAATGTGCTAGTGGAATATGCAGAATTTCTTCTATCTTGCATCTAAGAGAGCATCTAAGCCAACACTTAGAAGTATTATAGTGAACACAGAATTATAAATGTTAATCAGTAAATGTATTTAATGTTGAGAAGAATTACTTCCTATTCAATTAGCTGTGCAAGGCTTTCATCATTGCATGACTGTGTTTATTTTTTAAGCTCTTAAAGGATTCTCTCTGGATGAACACTCTCAGGGCACACACATTTAGCCATTTAGACAAGTGCTAAATAAGAATACAAAAGGAAAAAAAAATTAAAGCCACTCACACAATCCAGAATTTATATCTTTCCTTGTTTTGCAGAACAGATCAATAGTAAGTTCAGAAACACCTGCCTGAAAATTTTATTTAAAGGCAAAATATATCTAATATCACAGGAAGCAATCCTTAGTTGGTACAAGTTCAGGTCAGTGTAGCTTTAAACCATCTAAGGATCTAGCCTACTAATCTACTCCCCCCTGCAACCAGCCCCACACAATCTGTTATTTGACAGGGTGTATTTTCTGTTATGTTGATTGGGATTGTTTCGATATTTTAAAACCTTTAAAACCCTTGAAAACAATTCACTTTCTAGTCTGCGTATCTGTGTTCTACGAGCAGTGTATGATGTTAATTTTTCTCACATCTTTTGCTCCTTAGCAGTAGCTGAGTAAATTAAGAGCTAAGTTTTAAATTTTCCATCTCGGTCTATATAACGATATCTTTTTTTTTTTTTTTTTTTTTTTAACACGTGAACCATTATGTCACAACCCAAAATTCTATGAAAACGAGCCTTTTGTTGAGAAAGATTTCTGGAGATTTCATTTTATAAACACATTAGGTAGAAGTAGAAGAATCTTTCTCCTGAGATGACAATATTTAGAGATGCATTTAGAACCAAAAAGACAGTAGTTCGTTAAACTGGTCTGGCTGAATAGATGGTCCCAAACACAACCAGCCATTACACAGCAAGTCCCAGCAGTAAAGCCAAAACAGCAGAAGCTGGTAAGCCAATAGATGGGGGTCTCTCAACTGAGAGAACAAAATGAGAGCAAGTATTACTTTACTTGACTGCTGCCTTGGAATTACTTCCTGTGGGACTTCCTTTGCTTGTTTTATTGGGGTACAAGGGGGAGAAATTGTTGTGTTTTTTTTGTTAAAATATTTTTCCAGTTACAGTAAGATATACAGCCATTAACATGCAATCTTTTTTCCGCACCCAAAGGTAAACCATTTACTGAACACTGTCTAGATATTTTAACTGCATTCATTATAGTGTCTAAGCATCTCATGCGTATGTTAGGAGAGACGAAAAAGTCTCTAGCATAGCTGGAAGCCCTACTCCCTTGTCAGAAGGCGAGTAGCTTCTCTACAGCTTCTGTAATACAAACTGCTTGAAGCTGTTTGTCTATGGATATTTTACTAAATCCTACCAACTACATTTCTGAATCCATCTGCAAAACAGCATGCATACTTCACCCTCATGCTGCCACTCTTTGGCTGATTGGTTTCAATAGTATAGATGACTTGGGGAATCATTTAATGGATTGTATGAATACGCTTTTGCTACATACATTTCATTTATTGTATGTCAATTGAGAAGAATTACAGATCCAAATATGCAGAGCTAAGACTATGATTAGTAAGTATCAAAAGATACACCCTTCACTGCCTGATTAACTCTACTGAGGATGAAGCTATTTGCATCACAAAGAAACAGTACTTAAACAGCCTGAAAACTAATTTGAGCTTAAAGGGGCTCTGCTCAGAAAACTGTCCAGTTCTAGATCAAACAAGAGGATTAGGAAACTTGCTTCAATATAAAAGCTATGGCAACATGACAATATTGAGTTACATAATGTAACTAACGTAGTACACTTACATAAAGTCTGTAGAAGAAAATACAGAACACACTGGCATTTTACTTTGCCTCTAATAGAAGGTTACAATTTTAAAACTTTGTTGGTGAATACATTAAAAACCACAATAATATCTCAACGTCCCCAAATCAGACGTTCGTATTACAATAAATGAATTTGCAATGCACACATTAACAGGTTTCACAGAGGCCAAAACCGTAATTTGTCTAGAGCACCAACGTTAAGAGAATTCGCCTTTGATTTTTGTTTTTAAACAAGATTCACACCTGAAAATTTCTATAATCAAATGGCTGTGTGCAAACACCACTTTTTTTTTACCTCATTCTCAGTTAAGGAAGCTGAAGGAGATGAACTCTTGCTAAAAGCAAGAGTTGAAGATTCTGCTGCTGAAGCCCGATTTCGCTTCTTCAGAGGTTTACATGCATCAGACAGATTTTTCGTTGCTGTAAAATAATTTTGGTTTACAAAGTGAAGTTTGGAACTTTAAAACGTTATCTCCCTGAAGCCATTTAAAATATTCCTTCAGATAAAGGAAGGAATGATTTAGGTAGGTCTTCTGGGCACCTACATAGGGCTGAGAGAACACGAAGTTTCTGAAACCATGTGTTTGGGCTTGATTTTAAAAATAAAGACGTTTCTGTTAATCAAATATGTACTACAAATGGCTAAGGAATGTTTTCCCCATTCTTTTCAGCTCATTTCTATTAAAATCAAAATATCTTGTGACTTATGACCTCTTAATGCAGAGGTAATAGTCATCTCCTCATATAAACATTAGAAAGCCTACGTGATCCCATCACAATCTGAGTACCACTAGCACTTTTTTAAGAGAAAAGTTTTGTACAGGAGCCAGGTACCAGACATTATCTATGGCACATCACCACTTCTACATTGTGCAGAACTTGCTGAAGGTTACTCATCTTCGGCACATCATTATAACACCTAAAGAGACATGCTCTTACAGAAGTTACCTTAAACTTGAGCATCATTAACAAGTCTGACTTTTGGATTTTGGTACAAGGTTATTTAGAATTCCCTCTCGCACTCCACAATGCTTCCCATCAAGCATCAGTTAAAAGGACTAAAATCACATAGTAACTGATTGCATTGATGGTCACTGCACTTGTTTTATTGGGCTAATGCACAACGACAAATTGGAGCGGGAGGCTTTGTATCACTGCTCGCCAAGATCACAGGGCAACAGCTTTAATTTGGTGCCATCAAATGGTGAACTTGTGAACTGCTGCTCTAAATCAGCAATACACAATTTCAGTCAAACATAACGTTGCAAAATGGTGGTAGTGAAGGAAGAGGGCACACTCCCCCCCCCAGCCGTGGCATAGTGGCTGTAACTGGTTATTGCATCAGCAAAATTTAGCTGGCTGCCTCAGACAACCTGTTTATTTTAAAATTATTTAATTGAAAAAGTTACATTAAAACTTATTCTGACCACATTACCTGACTGGTTCTTTTGTGAAGAGGAGGTTTCTGTGACCTTAGAAGAGTTTGTTTTTGCTGTTTTGTCATTGCTTGTCTCCCTCTGTCACAAAAAAAAATATGAAAAAATAAAAAACCTCCTAATTTATGAGTGGTTGGATAAAACTGGCAATTACTTCTGGATTTATGTTATCAGAAAGAAACTGTCTTTACAAATATCTGAATGGTAATGTAGTTAAGCTAGCCCCATTTAAGTGATTTTAAAAACTCATTTACAGCACAGGGTACAAACCCGTAAACAAATGAGAAGAATTAAAGAACACAGTATTCCAGCATCCCACTTATCCATCCTAAAACCTTTAATTATTAAAGGAGAACTGCAGAATTAGCATATAAATTTGAGAATAAACACTCTGCAGAATTTTAAGTCTCAGAGAGGCTCTCTTCTAACTCCAAAACTTATAGCAGTGCCATTTTAAAAATTACTATGGTTAAGATTGTTTCAGCATTTCCAAAATAAAAACACTATTTCCAAGGGAGCATAAACAACCCATAAATTTACTCCAAATTGAGAATTTATCATTAAAAGTTTAGGCCAAAAACTGGGGAATTTTTTGTCAAAGCTTTGTCAAAATTAGACACAGTTCCTTAAACATGCCACTATTTTTCTTTCTTTTTGTATGTTACAAATTCATTCAAGTAATAAGTCACTAAAATGGTAGCCATGAATGCTTAACCCTGACCAATCCCCACCTGACCAATAATTCTACCAAACAGAAGGTTTTACATACTTCTTCATATTCTTCACCTGACATTCAGTTTTACAAAACATGTGTAGGCGAACACCTCACAGGCCAGAGAGCTGGTTTCCTTTGTAAAAATAAATATGAATGGCTACTGTACTACATATGTGCTACACTGTGCTTTTACTGACTTCAAAGTAGACTAAGATGTCCCACCACTGTTACCACCGCAGGCTCCCAGTATGAGTTTTGTAAGATTACTGTTACACTTCTGTGTAAAAATGAAAAAAAAAAAAAAAAAAGAAAAAAAAAAAGTACAAATGTACAGTATAGTTCACTCTTAAATTCAACGCATGCTTTACAGAACGCCCATTTTGTTAATGTGCATTTTATATACATCATGAAAGCACCAATGAATAAATTAGTTTTGCAGAACTCCCATATGGGTACTTATTATGACTTAGTCACTTTGTGCAAAAACATTCAGATTTCATAATAAGAATTAAGGACAAAAAGGAGAGCGTAATGCCCAACTCTTATGCAAGCAGTAAAACGTAATGAGAAAAAGTCATTAAAGCTCCTCCTATCCAAAATGATTCTAACAAAAGCCTGCAGGTAAACTGGAAATAGCAGACAGAAGGTGTATGGTTAGTGTTTGCTTTTTTGAATCATTACATAGACATTTTCACTGTCATTCACTAAATACTTTACTAAGCAGCAGCATATACAGCTGGAAGTACCCTGGGCTGGTGAAGGCAGGAAAAAGACTAGACATAATTCATAAAAGAAACCACAAAGCAACCATTCCACGATATCTGACCCTTCTGTGGACAGAAGCACAAACACTGCTACATGCAATTAGTTTCCAAGCTACCTAATATTTACACACACTGTAACTAGTTCTGATAAACGGATCAGATAGAGGACACCACTTGTCAAATGCACATTACTAAGTCAGTGTTACTAGTGGTATGTATCTTAAGGGAATCATTAATCACATTTATTTATTGATTTTCCTGTTAATATTCATATCTGCATCACAGCATCAAAGATCCCAGAACCTTCTCTGCATGAACTATACTGCAACCACCTTTCATTCTACTTGTGATAACGTAGGCTAATTATAGCACATGAATGCTGGTGGGACACTAAAAAAGTAACTTTAGGGACAGTCAAAACAAGGATTTCATAGCAGGAATTAATTACAATAAGTAAACTTAATTATTCCTTAATTATGGACCTAGTGTATTATGTGAACTCAAATCAATTATACAAGTTTAAAAAGGGTCCAAAATATTTTCTTAGAATATAACATGAATATTCAATAACTAACCCGTTAGAGTGAAAAGTGCAAAAAACCACTTTTGGCCCTTCTTTCTGCAGAGGTAACAACATTTCTTTAAGAATCATCTTCATCCCTTGCTAATAAGGTCATTAAAACTGGCTATCTGAAATTCTATATATTCTTTATATCAAACTATAAAAAAGTTGTCTGGATATCTGCAATATCAACAGAGGTACTAAAATAATTAGCCTGACAAACAAACTGACATCTACAAATGTGACCTCCAGAATTAATTTTAAAAATAAATCCACTACCTTTCCTCATATTAGGTTGTCTCATTTAATCGCTGTACCACTAAAGTGCTGAGCTGAGGTCTGCAATACTCCCACTTACAGTATGATACTGTAATAACATCTGAAACACTTGTGAGGTAAGCTTTCCACACCAAGTAAAACCCCTTAAATTCACTGGTCTGCATGCATGACTAAACAAACCTGCGCTTAAGTCTCTACAAGATTTGGGCTGTACCCATATACATAGTTTTAGTGACCTGCGTAAGGAAAACTCATTGACACAAGCAAGCTAAACTGAAAAGAAGCCTGTGGTTTGTGCAGTATATATACTGTAATAGTTTCCTAACTTAAGAAATGGGTCAGCATGCCACTCTAAAACGTTGTATAAGCTTCCAGTTCTTGAAAAGTAGTTTTTCTGTTTTGCTTTACTTGCTTTCCTCTCCCTCCCTACTTTTGTCTAAATTAAGTATTGACTACAGGTTGGGATTTTTTACATTCTTGTATACAACCCTGAGCTCTCATTCAGGAGAGAAGAAAAAGAACTACAAAGCATGACAACACAGAAAGGTCATGCCTCTGCACATTCCTTCAGGAAACACATTTTCTCAGCATACATTTTTACCGCAGTTTAAGAAGCAGGTGCAACTTGTCATAATTCTATCCTCAAAACCCAAGAAAAACAGACCTCCACAGCGATACGCTCACATGTATCTCTGAATATTTACAACAGTTTGGTTTGATGTACAGGCATTACATTTTAAATCCTGAAAACGGAAATGCTGACAAACTTAACTACAGCAATGTGATTGGTGCTGCTATAAATCAACCCAAACAAACCAATGACATAATTACCTTCCGATTATTCTGTTTATCCATCCTGAGTCTTTTCCTAGGTGCTTCCTGAACTTCAAAATCTTCTGTAGGTTCCTTTGTCCTCTTTTTTTGGTTTCTTTTATTTCCATGTAAGTTACCTTGGGATGGGGGATGGGGGAAACTTACATGAAAAATAATCTAAAACCCACTTTCAAATTATTTTGAACTGATCTAGTTATTTAAGTTACTTTTCTTTCAGTCATTATTTTTTAAACATGGTTAAACATTAACACAATTTGATGACCTCTTAATGCTTAAGATCTGGTTTCTGGTGCTGAAGACTAAGTCTAGAACACATCCAAATCAACTGCTTCATACTCAAGTTATTTTAGAAAGATGGCTACCTGTATAAGTACTAGTTTAAGATCTGATTACTGCCTAACATCTGTTTTTGTAGCATCACACTGCACATGATTGATCTATATAGCTTTTAACTCTTCTGCCACTTTGTAACAGTGTCTTATCACTGAAATTAATTTTTAAAAGTCTCGTCCTTAAGTCTCCTTTAAGTTCTCCAAATGATAGACACTGGATGACATCTTTAAAGGGGCCTCTGGAAAAGAGAAGGTATCACCAACTGTACAGATTAATTCTCTCTCTCTAGTATGGCAGTTCCAGACTCTAGCAAGCTTACTTAGATTTTACAGGAGACTGTAAGATCCCCATCCTTTGTGAACCAAAGTCCTAAGAACAGAATCACATTGGTCATCGTAAACAAACAGACTTATTCACGTATTCTAGATGATGTTCACTGTACAGTTCAAGCAGCTGCTAAATTACAAAAGGTCAGTGACTACCCTACACACCCCTTCCACAGGTTCAGCTACTGTTTGCACTTGCTCTACCTCAAAGACAGATGAAGGTTTAAGAAGTGGTCTGTTTCATCAGGATGAAATGACACCATTATTACACTTTTCAGTACTCTCTAGCTTAGGAAGCTACAGGATATTATTAGTATGAAGATTGCAAGCTCCAGGGGCACAAATATGTTAACTGAAAATTGCCCTACAGCTACAAGCATTCTATTCCAGTGGGAACAAATAGCTGTAAATATTAAAAATAGAGCAACTTGAAAATATGGATAATTTTCAAATTAATGTTCTTATTATCTAAACAATCTAGGACTGAATCCACAAAGCAGACTGAAATGGCTCCAGGAGAACCTGCTACTTACAAAAAGCCAGCAAAAGAAATCCCACAATATTCTTCCAAGTTTAAGATTAGAGGATTTGGGTAGGGGAACAATTGAACTGACATATTTTCATCTGTAGATAACTATAAACGTACACAATATATGTACTAAAAACACCTGGTACAGGTACAATTTCAATTACATTTCTTGCAATATGACACTGAGGAAGGTAAACAAAATTCAGCACTACAGTGTTTAGATATTTAATTTGGGATCCATTAAAATTCTAACGCCAAGGAAGACAACATCTGAGATAAAATAAAGAGATTATGATACGTGGGTGATTACATAAAAAAATACACTCAATAGCTACTTATAATGATGAACTATTTGCACACAACACAAATTTCAATTACTTCTGGATCTTGATCTCCTTTTAGGTGAGTCTTGAAACACTTTACGTTTGGCCTCTCCAATATTCTTCAGTGATGAACCTTGAGAGATACAGAATGTGGTTTTGTTTTTTAAAACTGATATCCAAATATTTGACACTTAAATTTTAAAGTTAAAAACTTTTCAATTTTCCACAAAATGATGTTATTTCACACACACACAGATAGTTAACAAAACTGACTGCCATTTTTATACAAGTTTTTCCAAGTCTCACAAACTTTCAAACACTCCCTCTCATTCTTGTCACTGCCCAAAGCAGCACCTGTTGGTTTCTGATACTTCCATGAACTCTTCTTACAGTGCTGTAAAGCTATTTCAATTTGAAAAATGATGGCTAGTTAAATTTGATAAAGTACATGCAGATGCCAAACTCTCTTCCTCCCGTCTTTCTCAAATAAGTGACTCCAAACCCCCTCAAATATTTTGTAAAATAATTGAGACTGTTATCCAAATCAAATGCTAAACAACAGCAACACAAAAATAAAAGAAGAAAAAAAAAGTATTTGCAATCTTGTACAATGTCCTAAAAACTTTGAGTAGCACAATAAAATGCCAAACAGATGAAAGTTACAGAATAAAGTTTGGAATAATTCTTCCTGAGTTGTTGATGATATGAGGTAATATACTTCAGGTATGTATGAAAAAAGGTGCAGCACTGATTACATTTTTTAAACCGTTTCCTGACTACTTTATAAAAAACCAACTCAAATTTTATTAACAGTAACACTTCATCTTCCCTTCCCACCATCCACTCGTAACAGGCAGTGGATGCAATGGCAGCTGCTTATGGGCAGAAGAAGAATGAGAAATCAGCAATCTCTAAACAGTAGAAGGTTTACATATAACAACTTTTCAGAACAATGAGCAAGAAATGTAGACTTCATGGGTTGCGTTTATTGTAACCATTGGCATTCCTCTGCTATTGGCACAAACACCAAAACTTAAAACTGGAAAACAGTGAAAGCTGTTTTCCCTAGCTTAGTTTAACACCACTATGTATATGAAATTTAGTTAGAGTACACTAGCACAGTTTTACGTTTACCAGAGTCTTCTTCAGATTTGGGAGAGGTCACTATGGCAAACTTTGTGTTATAGCGAGCTTTCTGTTTTTCACTAAGCATGTTCCACTGTGATTCAAGCAATTCTTCAATCTCCTCACTTGAAGCATCTGGATGTTCAGCAACCACCTATACATGCAGAAATAGGGTTGTATTAAAAAAGGTGACCACTGAAAAGAATGGTGTACACACTTCTATTGCTTTGGAGAACTGGATACAAACGTTATCTGACATTTCTGCTGTAGACAGAACTAGATTAAAACAGTCTGTATCCAGTTTTTCTTTGGATAACCACTTTTCTCTCTCTCTCTGAAAAAAAATCTATTAGCAGATTAAGAAGTATTAAGAATAATTTTGGAAGTATCTTTTTGCCTTTTAACATTCAAAAAACAGAGTAAGTGTAAATCTTGTCTTGTGATCATTCAAAAAAATCTGTATTATTTCTCAATTAAGTTTAAATCTATACCACAGAAGACAGACAAAAAATATTGGAATATATACTTGCCTACAAAGGCATCCATCAATTCATAGGAGAACTCATTAAACATAGAACTCACTACACCTATCTCAGCAGAGAAATTTACACAAGCTAGCATCTGATGCAATGTTTCCCTGTATTAATGCATCATTTTTTACTATGTATATCAATATTAGGAATTCAAAAAGCTGTGCATCTCTTCTTAATAATATGACACATAATAATCATCAACATGGGATTTAAGAGTGTTTTTAGAAGGCTATTCAACACAACCAGAAAATCCAGTATTAAGAAAAAAAAAAAAATCCTCCCAAGCTCCTTCAGTATTCCTGTACTTAAGGAAAACTAGATTTGATTAATCACAGAAGTCAGAAAGCTCTAAGATTGTACAATCTACAGAAATGAAACAGTAGCTTTTATAAACAACCTGTCCCATCTCATTACCCAGCATTCTCCAAACTCCTGTTACTGGAGTGATGCAACCGATACCCCAAAATCATGAAGGAAAATAAAAACTAGGCCAACAAAGCCACATGTTCAAACAGTAACACCGTTCAACAGAAAAGAAAAAGAAATTTTCTGTGATAAGTGGAAATGATTAAACCTAATTTCTTAGAACTTGGTGTCTTAAAATTGCACTTCGTGTTGTCAAACAAGATACAAGTGTGACTGAAGCTTCTCTAGGGGTTAGAACAGCGGTAGCACCTTCCTTCCACTGGGATTATTCAGTGACTACTAGGGAAATTCATGCTGTAATTTTCCACTTGTACAGTACTAAGAGTTCTCTGGCTTCTATCTGGCATAATCCATTTGTATAAAGTTTGCAGAACACAACTAGCTTTGGAGACCTCTACTCAAAGTTTGATTAAAATCCAACAACGTCCAAAAAGTTATTGACAAGGAAGAACATAGACCCACAAGATATCCCTCCCACAAATATAATTTCTTTAGGAAAAGCAGCCATTTTGACCACTGCTGGTAAGTGTATAGTTCATTGCACTCAACTAGGGCATGGAGTTATTTAATTCTGTAAGAAATAACTAGCTTTGTTCGCACAGAAGAGTTTTAACACCACCTCCAGTCCCACCAAAATATGAATAAAAACAACTTTCAGCTGATTAAGAGTGCTGTGAAATGACAAGCAAAACACACCCATGGTTCTTAATGGTTAAGGGATCCTTCTAAAGGCAGCCTCCAAGGAAACTGCCCAGCAGGCTCTTCCAAATTCTTCATACTGTAATACTCAATCCTGGTATACATACTGGAAATTACATATTTGGTATCTTGATGCACATGAAAATCATGCACTTCTCCCAGGTATTTATTCTAAGTCTAACTATGCTACAAAACACATGGCAGATCTTCTCTTGAATCTAGGAATTAATATCACCATAGGTTTCAGAAACATGGTAATTAGACCAGATGTGTCCTAGCTCACCAAGCAAAGTAGATGCTCTTACTTGTCTTGACGTTCAACAACTCCTTATGCATGCAGAAATCTTCAGTTGTAAGCCCTGCTAGTGAACTTATTTCTTAATTTACCTCAAAACAGATCCCAGGCCCAAATCAACTAATTAATATAAACAGTATAGCTGCCTCTCACTGAATGATACTTTCATTTAAAGTCAGACACTCCCTTCTAATGATTACTATGGTTATATTTTACAGAGGAAATGCATAAGAATTCCAATAGTACAAAATATGCCCTTACTCCTTTGGTAACAGCACAAAATGCTTAATGTGTCACTACAACCATGAAAGTGCTCCGAGCTTTCAACGTCTCCCTCAGGGAAGCATGCCTCTTAAATCATTAAAAACATTTTCCAGCAGTTCCTCCAGTCCTCTAGCAACCATCATTCATTTCTGAAAATTTCAACTATTCCTCACACTCCTACCCCAGAAAAAATAACATAAAAAGTAGTAATTAATAAAACCAAACCGATACATGAATCCTACTACCATATGAATCTGGACTCCAAGCAAGACACTGCAGAAACAGCTCTACTTTTAAGAAAGCTCACGATCATTAGAGGCTCCAAAAGAGAAGTCTTCAATCATTCCCTTCCATCCCTTCCCAAGTCTGGGGGCCAGAGATGGATCCATAGTTTTCCTTTCTTCTAAGTTTCTACATGCAAATACTAAAGCAGCCTTATGCTGAACTCTTAGATGTCACCAATACCAGTATCTCAAAAAGACATCTGTTATTTAGCCAATGTTATCACCCCTTTTGAAGGATCAGAACATCTACAACAGCAACAAAAGAAACTCTTGGATGGAAAGCAAACCATGCAAGTTGAACCAGATAAGCCTAATGGAAGGGGCTGCTTACTGCTTTCAATACCGTCTCCAGCTTCCACCGAAGGCACAAAACTGCCTCTTTAAAAGTGACGTGACAGGCTGGAAGTACTAACTAAACTCAGGTAATTTAGGTTCTGTTTAAGCAGCATGAACATCTAAAATGGTGCATTTTGCCAGTTAACTTTGAATCAAGAGAAAGGAAAGACAGGCTCTACTGCCCTGATCAGTTAGAGGGACTGTTATCTGCAGTTACCTGGTATCTGCCTTTTTTGTAACCTAGTTCCGTGCTATGCACAGAAGTGCTTCTGTACCTATTAGAATGGATCTTGTTTAAAGGTATTCTATGGAGAAATGGCAGGGTGTCCTCTCTCTAAATATACGTGATATTTGAAACTTAATTCCTCCTACTGAGAACTCTGTGCAACATTAGCCACTGTTATCAATGTGATTTTCACACTTTCGCAAGTTTTTCAGTTTTCCCAAAACAACACTGAAGACAAAGCAATTCCTCAATGTCAAATATTGTAACAGTCTCCATATATCCCATCTATTAATTTGAGAATTACAGTATACCCATAGTAAAGAATGAAGCTTGATAACTGGCACAGAAAACAGAAATATAACATCAGAGACTCTGCATGTCTCTTCTGTGGTATGATATATTTAGCTAAGAGTCCATAAAACTAGTCATAATAATCTCATTTCTTCCAGAGAAGTAATTTCATGTCCCTCAATACTGCATAGGACTTCTTACTACCTACCTTAAAGGCCAAGGAAATTCCCCCCGACATTATACAAGACACAAGGTTACTTATAGAAGAAATGGAAATAGAATTCAAGTCTCTCAAACATGAGACAGACGATTTACCCATACAGCTTTTCACAATAAATATGTCAAAAATCTATATTTAATAGTCTGGCAACAAAATCCTTTCCTTTCTGGAGCCAGCAAACTGAACTGCCAATGCTTTTCTCAATTTAACCAAAACCACTAACAGGCATACATCGCGCTGTGTTCATTTTAATTCTCAACAGTAGCTTAAGTTGCAATGATCTAAACAGATCCTAAGGTGAACTGACTTCCATACAACAGAATCTGTTTTTCCATTTTTCTTTAGAAAACATTAATAGAACTTTATAACACAAACATGCTATAACAAAGTCAACCATTCCGTAGCTAAAGAGTGTGACAAAGTCACTACTAACTTCCTGGTCCTGTGGGTATCGTGGAATGGTACAACTACAAGAAACTATGAGCTCCCACTGCTTTCAGTGCATAAAAATTGTACTGCAAATTGAGCAGAGGGTTTTAAGGAAGAAAAATTATGGTCATGATGTTAAAGTAATGAGCTGGAACAGCAGTACTGCTTGTATACCTCTAACAGTCTTCCTAAGGAATGTTGATATTAAGGTATTTATTTATCCTGCCTTGTCTTGGAGTGTAAATCTCTCAAGAGGACCTAGTTTCTGTCCCAGCAGATTACATGCTGACAGGGATTTTCACAAGCTTTGTTAACTAGCTTCTTTTGAATCTTAGCAAATGATTCTAGGTGGGTAAATAGAGTTTCTGAGTAGTTCAAAGACAAAGAAACAAACCGAAGGAATTGAGCCACATGTTCAGAAAGAAGAATGTACAAGCTAACTACAAGTAGATTGCTATAAGGAGCATAACCTTTGTTATGTTTGCCTAAGCATATGTATACATATCTAAGATATTTTACAAACATTAAAAAAAAAATGGCCAATATAAAGGACCATTAGATTATGTAGGAAGATGCTAACATGACTTATGCTTAAAGTACAATGGCATTTCACTATACTGCCTTTTTTTTTTTTTTTTAAATATTGCCCATCTATGTTCCCTTCTTTCCCTGTTCCTGTCTAGACTAAGATTTGATGCAAGCATACCTGGTCAAGCCCAGAGCACTATGGATTCTACAGTAACAACTATTTTTTTGTCAACTAAAGAAATTTCTTTAAGTACAAAAATGAGAAGAGGCAATAAACAACAATAAAAGCTACAAGATACTAACCTCATCTCTGTGCTTCTGACAAAAGACCAAAAACTGAGATACTGCATCGCCCTTTCTGCTTCGTGGAGTAGATGCTGGAGTTTTCTTTCTACTGAGAGGGGAGCCTATCCCTCTTTTGGATTCTGCCTGTTCAGATGACTTTTGAGGAGTTGTATTCTTACTCTCCGACTGACTGCTTTCTTGCGTATCATTAGTGGCAGACAATTTTGATGTCCTTCTCCTCCTCTTGTTTGGAATGCCAGACTCCTTCATTGATTTCAGATTTTGAGTGGTTTCTTCGTTTGAGTAAGATGACTCATCTATCTCCTCTAATGGTTCCACAGCAATGCCAACTTCCTTTGCCACTCGAGGATTAAGATGAGGTCTGTCTCTAACATAGATGAAGGTGTACTTGGCCTTCCGTTCTTCTACTGTCATGCCTACTGCTTCACTTGCTTGCTTAACACCCATCTCCCACTGTGGCCGCAGCTTCCCCGAAACAGGCTTTAACATCTGCAGGATAAGAAGACAGTGTGAGAAATTTGCCCACTTTATACTTCAAAATGCCAACACTAACACAAAACTGTTCCAAGAGACTAAGTGTAATGTATAATTATAATTCAGACATCCAAATTGATTTTTTTTGATAGTACTGATACCAGGCATGAATCAATGACAAAGCAGAAGAGTACTGATTTTTAACAAGTAACAAACAGTGGTAAATTATCCCATTCTTTGCATCTAACATATGAGACTACAAGCCTCTGTAAATCAAGCTGTTTTTTTAAGCTTTCTGGAATATCTATTTATATCCATAAATACTTGTAACAGTAAAACAAAAAGCTGCAAATCTTGTCTGACCTAGTAGCCTCTTACCTTTATTTTCTCTGCTTTAGTGAGGGCTTGTTTTGCACTTTCCTGGCATAATTGTTCAAACTGGTCTTTTTCTTTGAAGGGCACAAGGCTCTTCTCAAATATCCAAGCTCGCTCTGGGGCATCTCCAAAAAACTGAACATGATATTGCCGAAAACTCTTTTTCTGTCCTGGAAATTAAAAAATGAATGCATTTAAGATACAACTTAGATGTTCTCTGCACTTTCAGACTTGAAGTCTTTTTTGTAAGCTCCTACAGTTACCATGACAAAAGCACAGTTAAACTGGTTAACCTTTCAAAAACCCACTTGACCATCTTGAAAGTCTCTGAGCTATAATCTATGACGTTTGACACAAAAGCCCTATAGTTTAATTCCAAAGAAGAATATGTTTTGCTAAACTAACTTAAGGTTACAATCATCTGTCAGTGCTTTCCATGTAGATTAACTTACATGTAGGCCTGTATGTTTCTGAAAATGCTACATCTGAAAAAGTTTCCAAAGCTTGGATAGCCTGGCACTCAGCCTCATCTCTGATTAGCCTAAACTTTTTCTTTTAATAGCCCTGAAACAAAACCCATACTTCAGCTAGTTTTAACACTTGCAATCATAACTTCATCTTAACCAAGCTTTTAAGGAATCAGAGGAAGAAACAAAAAGTATTTGGGTAGTGGAAGGGAGAGAAGAGAGAGTGGGAAGATAAGAGAACAATTCTGAAACCTAAACAAGAAAAACTCATTCTTCTAAGTTTGTAAAAAGGAATACTGGCTCACTGTAGTAAGATACAGGCATACAACCTTCCCTTTCTAAAGATCTCAGCTATTCTACAGTGAAGGGGGAAGACACCACCTCCAAAACTAATCAAAGAGCTCACAGTTAACAACAAACTTCTAAAAGGCAGAGGTAAAAGAATCAGACTTAAGACCTTCTCTAGCATCTCCTTAAAACTTGCAGATTTGTTGTCTAAGTGTTCAAATTGGGGCCTCATTTAAAAATAGAGAAGGTTTTAACCGTGATGACCTACACTTTCCTGTTTGTAAATTCAATCCTGCTAGAAATCCCTCCAGTAGCTATGGTTCTTCAAGGTGTCACCACATTAGTATGTCTAACATGCAGTCTGGGAGGAAGAGTAGATCAGGTAAAGATGTCTACCCAGTAAGAACAAGTAACAGTCACATCTCTCCACTACAGATGTCTTCAAACTAGATCTAGATTTTGCTAGGTTATTCATATACTGCATGTCTTCTATCTTCATCAGCAAATACTTCTAGTTGGTTGCTTCATGCGCTATTATTAGGGGTTTTTCTAGACTTAAATAATGACTCATCTGAGATCAGAGGGAATGGCCTAGGGAAAGGTCTTGGGACTGTATGCATCACACATTCAATCTAGTAGTCTAATACATGTTCCAGTAATTCACAGTCAGGAACACTTGTCTCACACAATAATTACTTTGTTCTATCAATAAAATGTTGCTTAACTAGGGACTACTGAGCTCCGATGACTTTATCTATGATGAAATAAAGGATAATTTTCTTAATTTACCAGGATGTCCTAGATGCAGATAGAGAGATGGCACAGACTACATTTACAACCACCTGTAAAGATCTGCCTCTGAGCAGCCAACAGCCCAGTTCCAAGCAGACACAGGCACCCTATTCGTTTTACAATATAATGCTTGACAGCTGTAACTGCCTAATAAAGAAGTCTAATAGTGCCTCCCACTAGAATCACTGAACCTATCGGTGAATCTTCAGACATGTTCTGTGGGCTGAATTCATATCATGCTTCTGGATAAACTAACGGAATTAATTAAGGATCATTATATATAAAGATATAATTTTGGGCTCACAGAATCCTGGAACTACTAGTTATTGAATGAATGAATTCATTGAATTGTATGAATGCTTGAAAGGGTTCTGATGAAGCCATTTAGCTTACTGCCAACACTGACTCTAGCTATAATCCTAGAGATCCTCATTCAATTTGTTTTTAAAAACCTCCCATGAATGAGATCACACCATTTCTCCAGGCAATCCACTCCAGTGCTTCACCATCTTAATCCCTTCCAAATTCTTCTTAATATGTAGTCTAAATATTCATTGCTACTAAGCTCTCTTCTTCCCAGAAAAAGAAGAGTTTATGTCATTTCTTCTTTATGTGTAACAAGTATTTAAGGCCAGTTAATGGGTTCTCCCCCTTGTCAGATTAAACAGCCCCAGTTCCTTCAGTCTGCCCATACAGGTAGACTCCTAGATTTCTGTTCACGCTGTCCTTGGAACCTTCTCTGTCTGGTCCCTTTTTCTTGAAATGAGATGACCCAAACAGAATGAAACAAAGAAAGTACTCCTGCTGAGGCCATGCTACCACTGGAATAGCAAAGGATCTACTTCATGCTTTTTATAAGCAGCACTATTAATTTATGTCAGTGTGACTTTGGTCTTTCTGCAGAAAAAAACTACAACGGCTTATTACAACTCTCAGATACCTTTCTGCAAAAATGCAGCTTTCCACTCATTTCCCAGCTTGATCACCTACTACTATAAAAATCCAACACTTACTCTTATACTGAACTACTTTTTTTTTCCACCTCGAAAGTGTCAAGATTATTCTGATTTCCAATCCTACATGTTTACAGTCCCTCCACATTGGAAATTTGCAATTCCAATGCAAATTCTAGATGTATATTCTAGTCTATTTTCCAAGTTCTCAATGCAACCCTTGAAAACTACACAAAAACATAACCACAAGAACACTCCCTTCCCCGACTTGGAAATACTTAGTTAAAAGTTACTGAAATCACTAGTGACAAGTAAATGCCCTGCTCTGTTCATAACAATGGAAGTAGCTACATTCATTTGATCTAATAAAATATATTAAAGTATTTAGAAGGATAAGTATCAAAACAAAGTTACATGCTCCTACTTTGGTTTGATATTCCTATTAACTTCTTGCACTTCTTCTTAATCTGCAAGTTTTCTGGATTCTGTTTTCAAGTTTTCCAAACTTTCAGTACAGTTTGGCATAAACATAGTAAAAAATAGTTTACAGTGCTCAGCTGGAGTTAAAACTAGTGAGGAATGCAATGTGGAGTAAGAAGAGTTTCTGTAAATACAACAGTAGCAAAAGGAAGGGTAAGGAATGCTTGCTGGGGCAGGAGATGGAGTAACAAAGGACACAGAAAAGTCTGGGGTACTCTATGCCTCCTCTGTGTCAGGATTTTGTTTGGTTTTTAAACTGTAATATCTGGCCCCAAGCCTCCAGGTCCCTTGGTCTAGTAATAAAAATCTGCAAGACTGAGACACTACCCACAGTATATTAAAAAAAAGTCAGGGAGCACTTAATCAAATTGGACATCTATGAGATTATGGGAGCAAATGGAATGGCTCAGAAGTTGCTGAAGGTCTTGGCCAATGTGATTGCAAGGGTGATCTCTTTTTGAAAGGTCATAGCCATTGGCGGAGATACCTGATGACTGGAAAAAGGCAAACATTGCAAACATCGCACCTTTCTTCAAAAAAAATCCAAGAATCATCTGGGGGACTAAAAGCTAGGCTGACTAGCTTACCCTCAATGCCTACAAGGTTACGGTACAAATTCGCCTAAAGGACATGCTCAAGCATATGAAAGACAAGAAGGTGTCTGGGAATAGCCTGCACAGACTCACTGTGGGAAAATGACTGGGGAGAAATTAGTTTCTCTAAAGTAATGTTTATGTTCTAACAGAAGTTATAATATTGTAAGAAAAATCTTTAGGGTAAGGTAAAACATAGTTGCTTCTTTCTGGATAAAGGTGCAGTTGGCATGCAAAGAACCTGCTACCTTGGAACAGAACGGGCAGAGCATGGAATGGAACGAAGGCTCTGTGGCCATGCTCTGCAGCACTCTCTTGCAGGAGATGGGGACTTGATGGTACTATGAGCCAACAACATGCATAGCAGCTGTCCAACAAGAAAGATGGCAGTTACCAGGCCAAACAACTGAGGTGAAATCACTCTCTTGTGATGAACCTTCTTCCTTATAATGTTATTATAATACCAAAACACACCTCGACCCCAAAGCTACCTGCCTCCAAGGCATGACCACTCCTCACTGAGCAAGTGCTCTCTGTTTTATTGACTAGGTCTTTAAGAGTGAAGTGAGAGAATTTTGCACCAATCAGTAATAAAGGTATGTACGACTAGAGTCACTCAAGCTCCATCTAAATACAAAGAAATAGTATAAAAACAGGTTGACGAGGGGAGAAACCTAGTGAAGACTCGATCATAACTTTTGGGGTCAGCAAATGGGCTGAACCTGTCTTCTCCCCCATAGGGATGCCTATTGGGTAAGAATCTCTTTTTATGTGCATTAAATAATCAATTTATGATAGCAGTTACTAATAACTGAAGTTTGATTACATATTGTCCTTGCAGTCAGTCTACTATCAACGGCAATCTCTAAACCTTTTACTGTCACAATCTGTATTTTATACAATAAAATTTGCTTTGCATAAGTTTCTGGAAACTTGGATAATTGTAATAAGGGATTTGACTCAGTGATGCTGTCAGTCTGGGTTCCTGAATGGGTTAGTTGAATCATCCTGATACAGCAGGCTGTTTGGTAGGGTCCCTATGTGGGATGCTGGCAGGTTGGGCCTTGATTTTCTTGGGAAAACGAAAGGCTGATGAAATATAAACGGTTCAAGGAAACCCCCCTTCTTACCATGATGCTCACAAAGGGCAAACTCTGCCTAATCAATCTGATTCACAGTGCTGGTACAAAAGGCAACAGACACAGGTTGAAACAAAGGAAATTTCAACTATATAAAGGGAAAAATCTTCTTGCCATAAAGGCTGCCAGTCACTGGAACAAGTTGCCCAGAAACGCTGTAAAGTCTCCATCCTTGAAGACATTAAATATTTGAGTGGACAAGGCCCTGAGCAACCTGCTCTAACTTGGAGACCACATGACTTGTAGAGGTCCTTTCCAACCTATATTACTTTATCATTCTACAACCAGCACAGATAAGCCTCAAAGGTTTCAAGTATCAGAACAGAGAACAAAGCCGCAAATGAGATTAGGAAGTGGATTCCAACTTAAAAATTTATTAACACTTGGTAGCCCCTGCATTTAGTATAAACTTATGTTGTCTGTAGATAACAGTATTGACTCTACGAATCACAGAAAATTTAGCTGCCTGAATTAGGGATTGCTTTTAGTAAAGCATAATCATTCCAAGTATTTAATTCCCATTAGCCTTCAATAAAATTTTTAGCCCCTATCACTTCTCCATGCATCTCCATAAAAACAACGGGAAAGTACCATCAGGTTATTTTTTTTTAATAAGACTCCACACAGTTTAATAGATCACAATTTTGGTATCTTTCAGAGAATGTTCAGAGTTAAACATGCTCAAGAATACTGTTTACATGATTTTAACATTCCTCTTGACAACAAGGAGCTGATTCAGTTACCAATACAACTGAATAGATAAAACGAAGAACAGAATTTTGATTATGTGTAACTGAAGAAATCTGGATGTTTGTAGCATCACTGACATACCTTTTAGTTTAGTGTAGGAATGGAGAACAGGATCAGCAGAAACCATACATGGCCACCATGGAAAACCAGACACTTTTGACCACACTAGATCTCCTATATTATACTTCAAGAGATGTACTTTGTCTTCTTTAACAGTACTTTGAGTTGAATCTCTCTTAGCAGGAGCCTTAAAAGATAAAAAAAAAAAAAGAAATACCATCACCATATTTTTTTCAGATACGCACTAGGATCACTAAATAGCACACAAAAGTAAGCAACAGCTTGTATTTGTTTAAACATTCTCATTATGTGTAAAGACAGAGAGAAAGGTAATGAAGGAAATAAGAAAAAGTTCACCAGAATAAAGAACTGTCATGTTTGCTAAGAAACAATATTTATATTTCATGTGTAATAAAAAATTTAAGTCATAATTTTTGTACTGTCATAGCAAAAAAAATCCAAGTTCCATTTATGTTTTTGGTTTTAGTTAGAAATATTGGCAAGTAAGCTGTGGTTTGTCTTTATCTTTTTTGCATAGCTGCTGAGAGACCATTAGGAAGGCTTACTTTAATTTCAAACACATTAACTGAGCTCTGGCTGTAGATGTGGAAGAGCCAGCCTCCCTCTATAGTGAATACTATTAATCAAGTTAAGCGCTATACACACAAATGCATTCTTAGATTTAATAAAAATTTAAAAAAACTAAACTAAAATAGACTGAAATACTTTGTCTGAATAGAAACTACATAAATAACCAGTCAAAAAACCCCAAACTCTGCATTTTTCAACTTTTTAAGTACTGAGAATTCATGACACGAGCCCTTCCCCACACCCTTTTGCAAGGTTTTTTTTTTTTTCTGTTCCAGTTCTATCAGTAAAAGTTTGTGAGTGCTCAGCTGGTGCTCTAAAGCTATGTTAGCTATTAGAAAACAATTACAGAACTATTTCCACTTCAAGGGACAGATTTAACTACAAAGGACATTTGTGTTCCTCTATGATAGGCACACATTTTTACTGCATCAAAACAAAGTTCAGCAAGACAGAAATTTATTCACCAACTAAAACCACTGCATGAAGTTAGTTACGTTTTGTCTTTTTAGTTTCATCTGGCTTCATTTTGATATAAAAAATGAACGCATTTATCTAGGTAAGCACTAACTCTGAATGTTGGTAAGCACTAACTCTGAACGTTACAAAGCACAGGATGTGCCTCGCTAGAGATACCTGTATAAAAAAAGAAACCACATATTTTTTAATTTGCTTTTTCATTTTTTAGGACTAAATTTATGTGCAACATGTTATATCATTCATCTTCTGTAGTACCAGCTCAAAATCCAGAAGTTGGACATCACACTTTCAGTGGATTTAATGTTAGAACTGGAACAAAATTCTGTTTTAATTAATAAAAATGATGAGAAGAAAAAAGAACACGTAAGAAACTGGAAAGATAGAATGTGGAAACAAGTATTTGGAGCATTATGTTGAATCAGAACAGATCAGGTTACCTTGTACAGATTTTTAAACCCAGAGAATACTACCATGACTAATTAGACATTATTTTCCAAACTGAAACATCAAAAATCTTTTCCACCCTGCAACAGCATAGAGATTTTTTTGATATTCAAACACAGATGTACATCCAGTCAAAAAACGTAAAGCTTAATGTATTCAGAAAATCCTTTCCTCAAAGCTTTTAAAGCTATGCCTGGTAAACACGCATGATGCTATGTCATCTGATTGTTAGGGACAGTTACTCATCCAGTGATTCAGCTTTTCTGATTAATTCAGACTTGGTTCATGTGCCTCCAGCTAGAGCCATGTTCCCATGTCTTAACGTTTTTGGCTCTCTGAGGATTCTGTAAGACTGTCAGAAAACCCCTCCCACTGAGCTTGCCTCAAGTCCAGCAGTCTCAATAGACCTAAGATTCCAAGCAGATGTGAAAAATCAAATGCTCCTTCTAGCAGTTAAACATGACATGAGAAGTTATGTTTAAAAGCTAAAAATTAAGAAATACATATGCTGAGAACAGATCCGGAAAAACATTAATCCTAACACACACAAACCGACTTCAGCATTTAAACTAAATAGGTGGGATGAAAATATTTTTCAGTGAGTTAACTTTTCAGAAATGTAAAAGTTAGTCAGGATTCTGAATCTCATTCTTAATTTATGAGTCCCTGTATTTTTCAGAAAGTGCAACTAAGCTGCAAAGATTTACGACTACACTCTGAGAGGGAACTGGCGGGAACAACGAAAAGGCTCTAGCAGTGCTTCTTACTGCAGCATAATCTAAAAGGGGTGGCAATACAGGGGTGAAAAATCACATTTCAATATATCTGCAAGACTTCACACATTTTAAAAATGCCAAAAATTCTTTCACTATACTGGAACATGATAAAAAACTTGAAAATTACAGGCTTTCATAAAACCTGCAAGGTTTATCTACACAATGTTTGCTGTATTTATGTTTTCTTTTACTGATAAAATGCACATACTTTAAAAGAATTCCAAAATACAGCACAGAATTCTACATACATAATTTTTTTTAAGAGCTCTCATATGAGGCTATCTAAAAACCTATAGGAAATATCACCATGAACTCACTCTCTTCCATCGTACCTTCCCACATCATTTTGGTTTAGTTTGACTTTCTCATTCCAGGAAATACTCTGATCTATTTAACAGGTATCTCAACAGTAAACAGTGAGGTGAAATTCTTAGCATATACTTCTGAGACAAGCAGCTGTAGAATATCAACAGTCTCTTCAATGCTTCCTTTCAAAAATATTTTTGTAAACTGCCAGAATAGCATTAAATGCTTAAGTGTTTTAATCGTTTAAAAACATCAGAAAATGCTAGACCCTGGAAGGCAGTCATATGCATAGATTTTACTTTACTATCCAGTTTGGGTTTTTTCAATTATTGATGGGATAGGATGGGAGGAAGAGAGAATTTATCAACAAATTTGCCACCCGGTCCCCTTATGGCATCTGTATTCTCACATGATGAGAAACAAAGGTTCTTTATGAGACATTTGTATTCTGCAATTTTTAAGAACAGGAAATCACCATTCAAGTTACAAAGTGGTACAGAAAAAAAGTAATTTGGCCTGCAGGTTTTTCTCCTTCAGAAGAAAACAGGAATTGTTGTTAGGCAAATTTTGATTCCTAACAACATGTAGTCAGACAGACAGGGCATCTGACTGTACACACGTGAGAGAGGCAGGACGGAAAGTACACTTTTGGGGCTCTGTGTGAATGCATCAGAAGACAGGGAATACCTCCTCCTGCAGTAGATCAATTCTTTATGTGATGATACTTTGGCAAGCAAATGAAGATGGGAGACTCCTGGTTTAGAGCACAACTGTAAAGCACAAGTGAAGCTCACAGAAAATCAAACTATTATTTTTAAAATACCTTCCCCTCAATTTTTGGCTCTTTGCATTCTTTTTTTGACAACTTCTCATTTCTAATTAGATCTCCTACCCATAAATGTCAACAAAGTAAAGCCTGTCGGGCTTCAGTGCTGCAGAGGAGCACAGAGCAGTCTTTGCTTGCCGTCAGTGCTAAGTCTGGACTGCTCTGCGCATGCCCCATCCCGTTACCTTTTACTGCCGTTTTGACACTAGTAAACACATACACATTTAGTTGTGGAATATCCCCTCCTTCTCCTTCCTTGATTACAGGCAAGCTCTGCAGCCTCTAAGACAGCTACCCCCTCAATCACCTTCCCCCCAGAATTTAAATCAGTTATGCTAAACAGAAGACAGAAAGAGCTTGTAATCATATTTGTCTTCTACTTTGGGAGTGAATTCCTGTTGTGTGTGGCTTTTTTTTTTCCCCCTTCCAAACACTAAACTGCAGGGAAGTTACATAAACAGGCAGTTGAAGGCTGGGTGAGCACATACCAGCCCTAACACTGAACACACGGGCTATTTGACAGGCTCTGTACTACTCAGTATGGCAGACATGGAAATTCCTGACTTTCTGGATTAGTATCCAAGTGAAAGACTTGCTCTGAAAGGCAGTAGACCAATTTTAAGATTATTTTGTCCAGGGGGGCATGGACTGTGGAATGGAGTAATTCCCTTACTGCAACGGAGTTTTCCTGTGAGAAATTATGCCTTGAAGAGTACCAGCACCCTTAAAAACTCATCTGGGCCAGCAGCTGCAATAGGCTGAGGAGGACCAAAAAACAAAATAAAAGAAAATTTAACATTCCTTTCCTCTTCCCTTCACATTTCACAGATTTGTTTGTCATTTCTCTCAACACTTTCATAAGCCATGACTGACAGGCAGATTGACAAGAATTTATGACACTACTGTCAGCATTCTACCAGCCCAAAGAAGCTGTTTGGCCATAGAAAATGTTGGTATTAACTTTGCATTCAACTGATCAAAAGAATCCAACCAGTTTCCATTTAGTTCTGGTCTGACTAATGAATAAGATGACACAAGAACATACCAGGAGTGACAGGTAACTTCAAAGTTTAAAACTATCTTAAAATGACCAAAGAAAAATGTAGTTAATGGCAGCGTCTTTACTGCACTGAGAGCTTTACATTTGTTTGTAGAATCTGTAATGAAAACACAGTGATGAGTGTTTAGTAAACAAGGGACAAAAGTAAATTTATAAAAAAAACACTTAGAAGGCTTACTGGGTGGCGTCGGACTGAGAGAACTTTATCCCTTTTAGAATCATCAGTGGTAGAGATATTAATGTTATAATTATCGATTTCGTGTATTTGTGCATATATGTATATGTGCATACATGTGCAAGGAATTATAATGCCCCAGAATTATTGCAAATTACCCGAAGCATCAACAAGCTAGTATTTCACTACACAAACTTAGAAAGCTAAAGAAATAATAGAAAAACTTCACCTAACTGTAAATTGTCACAAAAAGAATGATGTTGAGAACTGATAAAGAATACACCAAAGTTTTAATATTGGACAACAAAAAAGACAACAGTTAAGACAAATGAAGCCAGTAAGCACTCTCCTCTGTGTAGCACAACAGGGATGTACAACTGCACAACTTTCAGATATCTCCCCTTCTGTTTTCATATTCAGTTCAGTTCCATCCTTTATCAAAGAACTTCCCCACTGGACTACACTATAATAAAAGGCCATGCTACAAATACAGACTTCTGGAGGTCTACTAGCATTACAAAGAAACTAAAAC